GCAGAATTTTAGGCCATGGCTTCCTACCTAACTTTTCTGACACCTTCAATATCCACTCTCCCAAAATAAAGGGTACAGATTTCTCTTCTCCTCTATCAAGAATTCTAAAATAGATTAGTCATTTCACTTCTACTCATCCAAGCCCTTTTCCAAGGTTCCTATCATTTCTGCTTCAGCAATTAATTCTTCCTTGTTGGTTAGAATCACATCCAGAAAAACAGGTTTTTGATGAATGTATCATTAGAGAAAGCAAATAATTTACTGGTTGTTCTGCTCTATTAGCCTCTTTTATTTTGGCAGAAACTTTGAACAAATGGCTAGATAATTGAAGCACTAAATAATCCTCACCCAACACCACTACTATACAATGCCTCTGCACCAGGCTTACAATTTGTTTACCTGGTTCTTCATCTTTTCTGGCCATTTGGTCTGTAGTATACTCCAAAGGACAACAGGCTAAATAAACATCACCAATTTCTTTAATCAGTCCTCCTACCTCACCTTCCTGGTTGTCCTTATCGAGATGCTCTCCAGTTTTTCAAAGTCCTTTCTAGCCTACAGGCAGCCCTTTCTCCTGACAGTACCCTCAGAGTGTTTTGTTATGAATTTCCTGTGTGACTTGGACAAAGTACTTCAGAACCTCTTTGAGTTTCATTTTATCTATCTGTAAAAATTTAATTGGACTCAATGGTAATAATAATTTACATTCTATAATACTTTACAGTTTCAAAGCACTTTCCTCATCATATCACCATAAGGTCCATTATAGATCTCTATGAAATAAGTCATAAAATTGTGATTTCCTTCCTTTATGTCAGCACCTATGTCTACATAAATGTGGCCTTAGACTGGAAACTCTAGGGGAAGATACTATGTGTGTTTCTCCTCTATTGGCATAGTAGCCAGTGCAAATAAATGGGTAAATACCTAGCTGCTGTAGTGATTCATAAATGCCATTCATGCAAAAAGAAACTTTCACCTCTCCTTGCTGTCAATTTGTCCCAATTTTCATGACACAGGCACTATCTTCAAAATTGTCACATCCTATTGCCTTGTATCTGGTAGGAAGGTTAGTAGAGCATTTGGTACCTCCAGGAGCTTAGTCTTCCTTCCCTTCTCTCCTCTATCTAAATTGTCAAAATTCCAGGTCAAGTCCTACTTTCCTCATGGGGGTAGAGGGAGAGAAAAACAGAGAGAGAGAGAGAGAGAGAGAGAGAGAGAGAGAGAGAGAGAGAGAGAGAGAGAGAGAGAGAGAGAGAGAGAGAGAGAGAGAGTGTGTGTTGGATAGGTAGATTGGAGTCAGATTATAAAGCACTTTAAATGCTCAAAATGGTCTTTTACCCTAGAGGCAGTAGGGAGCCATTGGAGCTTTATGAGTGGGTGAGTGACATAGTTAAAATTGGGCTTTAGGAAAATCACTTGGCACCTCTGAAGGATGGAATGGAAAGGGAAGTGGATTGATGCAAGGAAACAAACTATGAGGCTATTAGAGTAGTATAGAAGGGAGATGATTAGGGTATGAAGTAGTGTGGTAACCATATGAACATAGAGAAGGTGATGGATTTGTGAGGTATCATCAAGTAAAACCAATAAGACTTGGCAAATGATTGTACGTCAAAGCTGGTGAAGAGTGAAGAGTTAAGAATTGAGGATGACTCCTAAATGAAAACTGGGTGGCTATAAGAAATGGTGATGCCCTTGATAGAAATAGGAAAGTTAAGGAGAGGGAAGAGCTTGGGGGAAAATGAATTCTGAGTTTGAGATGTATTTGGGATAGCAAATGACAAATATCCAATTGGCAGTTGGTGATACAAGCCTGTATCTCAGACTGGAAATAAAGATAGATGAACAAGAGGGAGTTGGTGAAACCACTGAGACATAGATTCTAGAAAGAGAAGTGGACCAAAGACAGAACCATAGGGTACACCTACATTTGGGAGGTGGGGGGACAGAGATGATGATGAAGCAAGAAAAACCAAGGAGAGTCCAGATCAGTAAAAGGAAAATCAAGAGAGAGCAGTGTCATAAAAACCCAAATTGGAGACAGTATCCAGAAAGTGATTAATCTATAGTGTCAAGGACTGAAGAGAGGTCAAGAAGAATGAGGCCTGAAAAGTCATTGTTTTTGATAATGTGATTTGATAATGGTCATTAATAACTCTGGAGACAGTACATCAATAAATATGGTGGGAAAAGTTCTCTCTCCTCATGGAATGAGAAGACAAGCCCTGAAGCTGTCACTTATTAGGTCTTGCTGCATGACCTAGTTGGGTTACTTGACTTGTACTTAAACCCATTTTTAATCTGCAAAGCCAAGAGCAATTATAATTGCATTACCTCTCTCAATAGGTTGTGGTTATGAAAATATTTTTAAAACTTTAAGACTGTATAAATGATGTACAAGACTGAATTGAGCAGGACCTATATCACTTTTGTGTCCTTAGGGCTCAATGCCTTGCATATAGGAAAAAAAAAACTTATTTATATAGTGCTTTGCAGTTTAGAAAGCACTTTCTTTATAAAGTCTTTACAAAGCACTTTCACAACAACCTTGTGAACTAAGTTCTGAACAAATATCTGATCTGGGATCTAGCCTTAGCTAGGTCATTGAACTCTGACCTTGGGCAAGATTTTTGAACTCCCTGGAGCCTCCTTTCTAAAAGAAGGACTAGATGGTACCCAAGTTTCTTACTCTAAAATTCTATGATCCTTTGAGATATTTTCAGCTCTCTGCTGGGGAGTAGGGAAGGGAGGGGCAGGGAAAAGTCACCATGCAGAAAGAAAAAATTCAATGGACCAAAAGGTGGCAGTATAGGGCCACCTATGACCACAGCATCCCAAGGGAAAGCAGAGACCAGATCCAATTCATTTATCAAATGCCTATTAGGTATGGGCTGAGTGCCAAGTAGTAGAAGATATAGAAAAATAAGACGTAGACTTTGCCCTTACAGACAGAATTTACATGACCTTTCTCCAAATAAATTTTGCTCAGTGATACCTGAGGATCTTTATTTGTAAAATAGTCCCCATTAACACTCTCCAGGGATTCTTAACCTGTGAACTTACTTATTTCTTAATATTGTGGTAACTGTATTTCAATATAATTGGTTTCATTTGAAATCCTATATATTTCTAAAATATTATTGCATTAAAAACATTTATGCATTTAAAAACATTATTCTGAGAAATACATAGGATTTACTAGGCTGCTAAAGAGGTCCATGACAAACAAAATGTTTTTAAAAATCCTGAATTAGATGATCTAAGGTCCCTTTCATGTCAGCTCTTCGAGGCCCCCAAACATTAAAGTATTTTGATCTATGGTCCATGGGAATAAACTGTTCCTTTTGGAAAGGGGAGTAGCATTGTCTTGATAACTTGGAGAATTACCAGGTGCTTTGGGGTGGGAATATGCCCCACCTCCTTTGTCCCACCCAGAAATTTCCCTAAATTGGGAGGGTTTTTGAGGCTTTGAGTTGGAATCAAGGAACTTTCACCTGACTTTCACTTTCTAAAACGTCGATTTGTTATCCAAATACCTCAGGCTATTCCACCAATTATCCTCCTACACCCCTTAATATAAAATAAATTCTACACTATTGTGCTGTAAGAAATAAAGGTCTGGTTTCAGAGAAACCTGCTAAGATTGTATAAAACTATGCAGAGTAAAGTGAGCAAAACCAGAACAGTTTATAATATAACATTGTAAAAACAAACAATTTTGCGAAAAAATAAAATTGACCTATTTCTTAACTGGTAGGAAAAATGAAACAGGGAAGATGGACGTTAGCTGGTCAGGTGACTTCTTTGGTCTTCAGTGGTTCCCCACTGCCGAAAGGACAAACCTCCCACATTCCGATTCCACTACAACTTTCAAAGTTTGTGTCCTGTCTTTTCTTCAGTACTCTCCATTGCTCAGGTCAACACAGACCCGTCTCTGCCCCTTCAGGAGCTGCCTTGGGCTTTCCCACCTCGGTGTCTTTGCTCATACTGTGTCTTTAGCTTAAATGGCCCCTCTCCTCTATCCACTTAATTCCTATGCATCCTTTAAAGCAAATGTCATTATTTCCATGAAACTCCCCGATTCCCTGATAGGTAGGAACCTTTCCCTTAGACCTCACTTGACTTGTTTTATAACTCTCTAAGGCAATTATCATGCAACATTGGGCATGGCAGAACTGGATCTCAGCCTCCAACCAAAACTTAAGCTCCATCAGGGGACCCTTTAGATAAGAGGGTAGTATTATCTAAACTTTGAATGTCCTCTAGTGCTGTACATGATAAGCACTAATTTTTTTTAAAATAAATGAATGTTCCTGGGGGAATATACCTAGACTAAGGAGGGGCCTCTATTACTACCCTACTATTTACTCTTCTAAAACCTATACCCATCAGACTCAACCAACCACCAGCTTTCTTTCACTTTACTTTGTCTTCTAGTCCCAAGTCTCTAGTCTCTGGGTGGAATGGGACTAAATGCACAGGGGCAAATATAGATACATAGCAAAGATCAATACACAAGTATGGGTGAAATATACCCAATCTATGACTGATCAAGCCTTTGCTCAAGACACAGATGCATAAGGAAGCAATGTGGTATAGTGGGAAAAGCACTAGAGTCAAAAGATCTGGATTCAAATCTCAGCTTTACTTACTACCCATGCTCATAGAGGCAAGTTATTCACCTCTCTACACTTCAGTTTCCTCACCCATAAAATAAGGTCCTTTCCAGCTCTGACTCCTCTGTGGTGGTATCTAAGCCTTGTCTCATCTGGTCCAACAGATTACTGGGAGGGTAAATCATCAGGGCCAGAAGGTTCAGTGGTGGTGTGGAGAGCTGGGCAGACAGTGGGATCATGGCTTCAAAATAGCTCATGACACATAATGAATATGTGACTCCTTCATCACCCCACCCCAACTCCCAGATAAATCCCACTTTCATCTCCTAGACCTCTCTCCCTACCACTTCCCACTGTTCACACAGCCAGACCACATTCCTCTGAAAAGGTGTAATATCTTGAGTTTATTTGAGGTTAGGGGATTATGCTTGTTCTTGGGAAAGGAGGGGTCGGGGGGAAATGTTCTCTTCTTGACTCTGAACTTCAGGCATAGACCAGATATCCCTGCTTTCCTTGAACACACACAGCCTGGCTTCTTCTTGTCCTCCATCCCCAAGTCTCTTATTCTTTCACCAGCCGGTAGATGTGATGTTGAGCTCCATGCTCACTTGCAGACACTTCAAACACATAGGCAATACACAGTAAGGTCTCCTGGGTATCTCTGTTGGTCACCACCTAGATGCAGGAGAAAGAAGACTGATGAAGTTCCCCAAAAGATTCCTGTTTCCTATACCAACTTGCCCTCTCTCTCCATTTCAAAGTTTTGAGGTTTCCCATAGCTCCAACCGCTGGCTACAAGGAACAGCCCATATCATCTACTGCTTTTTCTTGAACTTCAACCACCAATTTCAAAGTTTCCCCTCAGTCCTCATGTTCCCACCCTCAATTCCCACCAGTACAAGTTCCTGGAGCATTCGTATCAGCACACACCTGCAGAATAGTGAAGTTCTCCAATACGCTGTTCATCATATATTTCTCTGGCAGGTGCTTTAGCTTATGGATGAAGTTGATCATATATTCGCAGAGAGGAGACCGGTGAATTCGGTAGGAGTAGTGGCCATTCTCATAATGGGCATACTCTGTCTGCAGGACCCAAGGAAGAGCCGGAATTCAGGATCACTTTACATGTCTACCTCTATTCCCCATGCATGTACTTTTAGCCCTTATGGTTGACTCCATTCTATAGCAAACCCAGTGGAAGGATTCCCATAAATCCCAGAAATAGAAGCTGGTGAGAAAGGGAATAGATATGGGTGTTTCCTCTGGGAGCATGAAAAAAGACTGTCTTCTTTAATTGGTGAATAGCAATATGGTTCTGCCCCACCCCCAACTCTAGTCCTTCCTTTAGTAATTGGTGGAAACTATGGTATTTTGTATAGAAATAGTTCCATTAAGTAAGCTATGGGGCAGTGGGAAGAGTAAGAGGTAAGAGAATAAAGAGGTTAGTTTTTTATAGCTTATTTTTCAAAGAAATGCAAAATTATTACTTTCACATTCAAGAAATAACTTAATTGGTCATCATAGTGCTACAGGGGATCTGCTTCAATGCATACTTAAAAGTGATTCATAGGAAATGAGATATGCAAAAAGGTACCATCACTATTTCCTGTAGAAATTTAGTCTACGTAAAGCAATCACCAAAACAATGAGGTGTTTTTTTTAAAGCCTCAAATTAAATTAAATTTTAAAAGCCCCTTAGCTAACAAATTCTTGATTTCTTCACTAAGCAGAGATGTGGCAGCCTAAAGACATACCAATTTATAATACAAACTCATTTGTAAAATATTATAGAGGACAGAGACAGAAAAGTATAAGCTGTATCATTTTGAAAATCAGTGAAAACAGAAACAAATCTGCAGAAAGCTTAGCTAAGCTTTCATCCCAAGAGCATCCCTAAGACCCATCATCACAAGAGCATTCATAGGTGACACACACTGTTAGAGAAGGCCAAAAAATACAGAAAATGAGAGAGATTTGCCAGCATTTCTAAAATCTATTATCATCATAAATGTCAGTGATGTACCACATGTGGATTCTAACATCTCAGTTAGAGATATACCAATATGGTATATAAGGAAACAAATGGCACATAAGAAGATGAAGTTTGGAAAAGTGACTGGAGCTGGGCCAGGAAACATGTAGATCTGTGCCAGAGGGAACATAATCATATTCTCTTGAATGTATTAAAGGATCATTTTATAAGGTATCTCAGGAAAGGAATAAAAAACAATGTTTCTATCCTAAAAATAAGAGTAAACATACATAAATAACAACTGATCTGTATACCTATGTAACTTGTGACCTCAGACCTACACCTCTCTAGGTACCTTTAAAATTTTTCATGATTATGGCACTAGAGTAGGCACTATGTATACAGAGTTGCAAGTCTTCTTCAAAGAGAAAACATTTCAAGGTGATTCCATTTCTCTGGAACTAGCAGAGTTCACATAACTCAGAATATTAACAAAGGGCAAATCTATGTTTTCTCCTCCATATTGTGGCTCTATCCTTTGTTGATACTTAGCTCCAGATCCTGCTTAGCTCTAGAATTTCTCTTCTTGGCTCAAAAGTTTAGCATCATCCAGGAACTCTTCCTTTATGTCCAGGCAGCTCAGTCTAAAATTTCTTCTGTCACTCCACTGTTGCCCAATTATGTTCCTATAATTCCAAAATTGGCACAGGAATTCCTTGCTACTCACCCTATACCTGGAGCCACATGGTTCTACCTTCTTCCTTGGAGGGGCTGTGGAACTATAGGACTGTGAAAACTTCCCTCCAGAAAACCGGAGTCTCTCGATATCTGACCAGCTTCTTTCTGATCATTTCAGTTCTGTGTCTCTAACAGTCCTTTGCCTTTTAAGGGTCAAGTCCAGGGTCGATAGTTCAGGCACATGACTAGCCAAGATTTCAACCCATCATCATTTATACCTTAGGATGGTAGAAAGAGGCCAACCAGGACCAAGAACAAGCAAATTCACAACTTACTAAGAAGAAATTATTATAAAAAATAAACAAAACCAGGAAAACCAATATGACAATGACTACAAGATATACACAAACACAAAAAAGTAAAACCGAACACCTTATTAGAGAAGAATTTTTTTAAAAATGCCTCCTTCCCTTCATTGCAGAGTTAGTGTTGAATAATGCATATATAGTCAAACACAGTGAATGTGTTTGTTAGAATTGTTGGACTGCTTTTCTTCCTTAATAATTGCTGAACAAGGGAGGAGGCAATTATGTATTCAGAAACAAACGTGATATAAAAGCAGCAGATATCCACAAAGAGATGAATTTTTTTTAAACCATATCAACAATGCCCCAACAAACCAATAGTCATGGAATGTCCCAAGAAGGTCTTGAAATGCTTTCCACCTATTTTCTCATCTTCATCAAATTTTTATGAGTGTTATCTGCTCAGATGAAAATATGAAAAGGAAAAATATTTTCTTTGCAGTCATAAAATTGACTGAAGTACAGAAAAGATCCTACTATATTTATAATGTTCACTGATTACAAAAAAGAATTTAATTAAAGAAACTAAAAGCCAGCATTTATATAGCACTTTAAGGTTTGCAAAGCACTTTACAAATATTATCTCATTTGATCTTCACAATAAACTTGGGAGGTAAGGTTTATTATTTTCCCCATTTTACAGATAAGAAAACCTAGGCAGAATGAGGTTAAGTGACTTGCCCAGGGGCATACAGCTCAGACCATATCTTCCTAATTCCCGGTCCTACATTCTATTTTCCATGCCACCTAGTTGCTTTGAATGGTAGGCAGATTTAAAAGTTCTCTTCAAAAAGGAGTCTCCCATGGACTCAACTCATGGACTCTCTCAAAGAATTTCAACATTATATAAAATTCATTGATAAATATAACCACAGAGGTAATTGTATTCAATGACCCTCTGATTGGTACTGTCAAGTATAAAACCAGGAGATTTATACTTGCCCAAAGTATTTGCCATTTTTATGGACAAATGGCCCTCATAAGATCCAAATAGAAGAGAGAGATCTTCTGGATGTTCCTGTTAACGGATGATATTATGCTGATACAAAACCCTACACTATTATAAGGCTTCCTCAGTGAGATAAATGGTAAGTCAAAACAGATTGGCCTAATGACTCAAACAAGTACATCCATTCAATAAACAAGTGCATCCATTGAATAAAAACCAAATAGATGAAAATAAAATGCATATCATCCAGACAATATTCTCCTATCTGGCTGCAGATCTTGGATTGCCATCATCTCCAAAGGACCAAAACTGCCAGTGACCCAATAGGCAACATATAGATATGTAGTGGACATAAGCAGGCTGTAACATAATACTTATGTGCAAGAAGTAGTTTCAGGGTGGTTTTAGATCATCAGAAAAGGAGATAGGCTTCTATGTGATTACAGTAAATTATATTAGTTGGATAGCCCAAATGTTGAACTAATACCCATGAAATGTAAATACAAAACAAAACACAGACCCTAGAGGAATGTCTCTAACACACTGGGTCTCATTGGAGGCTCTATGGTAAAATTTGAATAAGAATCATCCGGGATAAAAAGGTATGGACAATCTGCAGTTATGGAAGGTATACCCATATAAATGAAATCATGGATCCAAGAAAATATTGAAATAAGAATAGTTTGTAAATCAGTACACTGATTGCAAATAATTGCTAATATGCACAATAAAACTTCAGTCTCTTAAACTTATTTTGTTTCTCCATTAACAAGCCTGGCTAAACCCTATCTCAGTAGGTAAGTTAACAATATTTCTTAGTCCATCTGAGTAAGCAAAACTTCAATGAATTAATAAGGTTTTACCATATTTTATAGTCAGGACCCAGCATGGTGATTTGAATATAGTAATAAAGCAGATGCTGATAACATTTTTACAAAATAAATATGAGTTATTTTGTTAAAGTTAACATACACTTTTCAAAAGCATAAATAAATTGGAGTTTCTGACAAGCTAAATGTGCAATAATTCATTATTTTGTTTATTCAAATGTTTGTTTTTGTTGATGGTTACTAAGTTTAGAGTTAAATAACTTTCAAAAAAATTTTTAAAATAGGAAATCTAAAGGAAGCTTAGTAGAGAAGGCAGAGGAAGCTAGTCTCCAGGATTCTCCTTGTGGGAAGTGGAAGCCTAGAATCAGAGTTGTTTAAGGTCACATAGGGAGATAACTGTGTCAACACCAGCGAATAGTATCCAGAAGTCCTAAGTTTGCTTCAAGGCAGAGCTCGAACCATCGGGCTTTTCCTGAGCTCTATGGAAGAAGAAATCAGTACCATACCTGCACTTCTGGCCCTATCACCCCCTTCTCCACCCCTTGTGGGTAGGTAGTTGCTCACCTCTACTTTCTCCACAACCTGTTTGCCAAAGGAGCAGACTTTGGTGGAGCAGGTGATGATCATGTTTTCAGGACTCTCATACTGACTGGAGACACCATAAAAAGAGCTGCCTTCATCCTTGATGTTGGTGTTGAGGTCAGCCTGTTGGGACAGATACCACACAGTGCCAAATAGTGCAGACATTTCAGACAGTCTCAAGTACCTTAGAAGGTCATTCTACTTAACAAAGATTCAACCAGCTAAGGGACTAGAAGAAAGTGGAAAAACTTCAGAAGAATTTAGGCAGTGATTACTTGAAAATGCACAGCTGGCTAGCAGGTGGCATGGCAAAAAGAACAGTCAGAAAAGGAAATGACTTAGTTATGTAATAAGGACTAGGGATAACAGAGGGACAGTCTGAGTATCACACTATTATCTACAAAATAGCAAAAGAACTGGAGGAAGAATGCACATGAAATGGTGGCTTTTCTATGGAGGATTCATGGAAAGATACCGACAAGAAATACATAGGATGAGAAGACCTTAAAGGGTTGCAATGTGCATTCGGTGAGGGGTACCCATGTCATGGAGATCACTGTATTTGGCATCAGAGGATCTGGGTTGAAATTCTGATCGCTGCTAGCTAATTGGGGGCCCTTGAAACAATTACTTTATTTCCTGGGACTTTAGTTTCCTCATCTACATTGACCTGGATCATCTATAAGGTCTCTTCCAGTGCCAAATTCTCTGATCTTATGGCATCAAAGATAAACTCTTTATATGTTATAGTTATTCCCCTGTTAAGTTTCATTGAGCTTTAATTTCAATGTAATTTAAACAATTGGCTTTTTCAGAATCAAAAAGACCCGGGAATAAGACAGTTACTCATATACCTTGAGCCCTAGGCTATATTCCTGTGATCACCAGCATAATAACAAATGACATTTATGCATCGTGCTTTAAGGTGACATTTATACACAATGCTTTAAGGTTTGCAAAGCACTTTAGGGACATTACCTCATCTGATAGTCAACACATCCTGGCAACCTACACACCATGGGTATTATTATCCCCATTTTACACTTAGTCATTCTGTACTTGGGCAAGAGCAGTGTACAGATCAATGTGAAGACCCCTAAGAAATCCATCTAACACAGAAGTCCCCATTCCCAGACTAGCTTGAACCCTCTCTCCTTAGTTTATAGTTTTGGCCACAATGGGACATAAATGGGATATATCATTAGCACAGTCCTAAAAAACAGAGGAGTTTCTGGACCTAGGATAGTATTAGATCCAGAAATCAAGGACCCTTCTTTCTCAAGACAAGGATAGTCAACCAACATTTGGAGGGACTGTGCAATTCCACTACTGGCCACTATGGGGCAGTCAGTTATAAGGATAGTTTGTCTAAACTGGGTATGGGAAAGTCTTCAGGGAAGGGGTTGTTCTACAAGCTTGTATATTAACTGGCATATTTCAAAAGAATTCAGATTTGGAACTGAGAAATCATCTAGTTCAACTTCTTCACTTTACAGTTGAGGAAACCGAGGCCCAGATAATTAAGTGCCTAAAATCATTCAGGTAGTAACTTCTGGGCCAAGGTTTGACTCTAAATCCAGCACTCTGTCCCCTATACCATTTTGTATTGCCTACTAAATTGTAGAAGTGCTAATCTCAGTTGGTTGAAAGACGAGTTCCCTATACCAATGAAACAATAGGTTCAGTCCCTACTTATCCCTATATCCTATTTTATGGGTCCACCATGGACATCACTGCATTTGATCCTGAAAACAATGCTGTGAGATATCTAGGCAAGTAGAATTTTGTAGAGAGGGAAACTGAGTCCCAGAGAAGAGAAATGACCTGTCCTCTCTCACAAAACTAGGCAATGACAAGGCCAGGATTTGAACCTGGTCTTCTGACGCCAGATGCAAACACTCTCCACCCAACCTCACTGTCCCTCATAAATGGTTAACCATAAGACTTTGTATTAGTTACTTCACACCTCTCTGGGCCTCAATTTCCCCACTTATATAATGAGTGGGTTAGACTGAAAGATGGAAGCAGGAAGGGTTAGAGTCACTTCCCCATACTACCCAGCTCTACTGTCTTCTCCTTTAATGCAGATCCTGATTTCAGCCACGGTGAATAAACAAAACATCTAGAGTCTGAGGCCCTGGAGTTGAGTACTAGCTCTAGTATTTATGCCCTGGGTGAGCTTGGGTTCTGAGGATGAGGTAAAGACCTTCCCCCTTCCACTTAAACATATCTATACAGCTCTCAATTTCAGCAAATGAAGGGAAGGAAGCCCACCTCCACACTGTCCCTTCTCTCTGTTGTCCTAGGGGGATGGACTATCCCCTAAACAAAACTTGGTGGTTAGCGGGCTTGGGTATGTGCAGTTTCCAAGGTAAGCACGTGTAGATAAGAATAGGATCTGAGAGTGGGAAAGGACCACAGAACAACAAAACCTTGGGTACGGAAGGGACTTCATTGGCCACCTGTTCATGAAAGAGATCACCACCGTCAATCAACCAATTAATCAACATTTATTAAGCACCTACTATGTAACGCCACTGTGTCTGGCAAGTGGTCATTCAGATTCTGTTTGAAGTCCTCCAGTGAGAGGGAACTCACCACTCCAAAGCAGCTTGTTCTACTTTTGGACAGCTCTCATTGTAAGAAGTTTTTTCCTGACCTCAAACCAAAATTGACCTCTCCTGCTTCCTCCCTCTGGGATCAAAATGAACAAATACCTCTTCCACACGAGAGATTTCAAAAACTTGTAAACAGCTATCATGTACATCCCCCCAGAATATTTTTTCTCCAGAATTTCTAGTCCAACTCCCATATTATACTGTTGAAAAGCAAGGATCAAATAAGATGTTCCTTCTTCTGTTGTACTACTCAAATAGTAAGTGGCAAAGTCAAGATTTGCACCCAGATTTTCTGATTTTGAATTAAGTGTTCTTTTTAGTATGTGCAGGATCTCTGTCTTTCTTCACCAACACAGACGTCAGTCCATCTTTTGACTTACAGGTCAACTTTAGGGAGTTGCTTAAGGCATAGAGAGGTTAAATGACTTGCCCAGTAATACATGGCTGAGAGGTGTTGGAATCCAGCATGTCTGAATGCTGGTCTTTCTGACTCTAAGCCCAGAAATCTCTCCACTATACCCTGCTGCTATTACACTACTGATAAATTCAGGACCTGAGCTCTTAAAAGGGAAGACACTGGGGAGCCTGGGCATATGAGGAAAAGACATCACACATCACACACCTGAACAGTGAGCTGGCACGCAATGCCTTGAGTGGAGTAGCTCGTTTTTCCCTTAAGGTCAGATGTGTATAAAAAAAGAGAGGGAACGGGGGATTGGGGGTAGTGATGGTGGTGGAAGTGGTCAAAAGACAGAGAAGAATGGAAAAGAGAAGAAAGGGGGCGGAAAAATGCATACATATACACATTTAAATGTAATCTACTTTATTAATACTTTTAAGTCTAAGACAATCAACAAAACAATAAACCAAGACCTGATTTGTAGTGATTGCCAATTTCTGGGGTATGAGTGAAATTTTAACACTACTGGAAACTAGATGTTTAGAGCTGGCTGCGCCACACCCCTCTTAGCAGCCATGGGCCATTCAGCATAATATTACAAGGCAGCCTCTGCTGAATGCCAAACTACAATCATGCAGCACAGTGAAAGAAGGCACAAGAGGTGGGTTCCAGTCCTAGCTCTGACACTTACAAGCATTCCCCTGACCCTTATTTAATCGTCTGTAAAATTAAAGTTAATAATAATAATTACACTACTTGCCTCACGGCACTACTGCAAGGAATGAACTCTGTAAAAAGCTTTAACAGGCTATAAGTATGAGCTATTATGATTATTGTCAAGTCTTTTCTCTGGCCCTTTACACAATCTTTTTTAAAAAAATTTATTTGATTTTCAATTCACAGAACAAAACAAGCATTTCCATAACACAGTATAATACAAAAGATGATTGCACATGAAAACCGCAAATCTACCAAGTACAACTTACTATTCCCTCCAAATATGCAATAAAGTTAGCATGATTTTCCTTTTATCTTCCCTCCACACTACCCCTCTCCCGCCCTAGAAATAGTTACCATTAGACACAAATAGGCATATATGTGTAAAATTATTCTATATATACTTTTATTTATCAGTTCTTTCTCTTGGTCACCTACTCTTTTTGTCTCCATCTTTCTAACACAGTCCTCAACCTCTCTCCCACATTTCTTCCCCCAAAGCTATAAACCCAGGCATTTCTTGCCCTCCCTAAAATGCCTTCCTTCGTTCTCCACACCCCTTATCCCTCTAAAAGGTTCTTTTCCCTTCTTTTCTCCAGTCTAAGAGATGTTCTCTGTCTCTCCCTCTTTCACACACACACACACACACACACACACACACACACACACACACACTCCATTCCTGTAGAAGATTCTGGCCCCAAATTCCCTACCCTCCTGCCCTCTCTGTGCCCCCTCTCACTCTCCTAACCTATTCATAGCTGTGTGTGTGGGTTGGCAGCTCACAAGGAAAGCAGTTAACAGGTGTGGGGCATCAAATGACTGGCAAATGAGCCAGAGCAGCCGCAGCCCTAGTGTGGGGGACTGGAGGGGCTCAGATTCATTGTCATGTGCTGGCATGCGAGCAGGCCAGCCAGGAGAAATGTCAAGGGGCCCAAACAGGATTGTCAAGCTAGGGTTGGAGGGAGATGATCAGGGAGCAGGCACATTATATATTCTTCCCTCCTCTGGGCTCCCTGCCCTAGCCCAAGTTCTGCTGTTGAGCCCAGGAACTTTTCAAGTTGGAAACCATTATTAATAAATAGTCATGAGTAGTTAAACAGTTCTAACCTTACCTCATGGGACCATCCTACTGTTTGCAAATGGACTTGTACCTCAAAGCCAGGAGAAAATGAAGTTTGGTTGAAGATGTCTCTTATCTTTGGAGGTAAATACCTCAACTCTCCTTATTCATGTTTAAGATTCTGAAAATCCTATAAATAAGGTATAACTATAGAAAGTGAGAACTATCTCACATTTTGAGATTATCTAATTACTACTGACTATCTTGTGACTATTGGTTACATCACAGGAGGCTATCAAATGCCTTGCTGAACTCTAGATTTTCC